CAGGATTTACTGTACGTTTAATAGATAAGGCTTAGTCTTTAAATTAGGATCTTTAGTACCCTAACCTGCTGCCAGTCACACTACTGGTGATATACAAAAAAAAAAGATGCTTATGCTAAGCATTTTTGCCCCTCCTGTTCCCGTCAGGCAGAAATCCTTTCTCTAATGAAAGCTGGCATTCCACCTTCCTTCAGTATTTCCTCCGGAGGGGCAGCAGGGAGGATGACGGCAGTAAAAGTGCCACAGTCAGGAGAAGTCCTACTTGGGTTTCAGATTTGTCTGTTTAATAAACAATGTCATGTGACAGCTGTGTGACCTCCATCTGCAGCAACCTTTCTACATCCTGTAGTAAACACTTTTTCTTTTTGATGAACACCAGCTCAGAATGAACAGTTGTCTTTGAATATTTTGAAAATAAATGTATTTTAGCTCAAATATTTAGAGATGATGGAAATGTATTGCATTCTATTAAAAGAGGGCTAACATATTTGGTTTGGTTTTAAAATACTGTCATTTCCCAAAAACAACTTGAACTTGAATAATTGAAATATGGTGATCTAGTGAGCATGTGGAATTGAGTCAAAATAATGAATGATGAGGACAGGAGAAAAAGAGGCATACACAAACAATTAAAGATACATTCCTAATTGTATTATTCTTCTCATTGACAATAAGGTCAAACAAGAATATAGCCATCCTTTCTCTTTAAATTAGCACGGCAACTAAGCTTGTGTTTAGTGAAAATGGTCACTAATCCCAGATGAGGGGCCCTGATCTGAAGCTTTAGTGAAGCAAGATTGTTCAGAGCCTGCACATATTACAATGAACAGAACATGTGATCATGGCCCGTTGGACGGAGCAGCTTTAATGAGTCAGAGATCTCCCCTCCTGACCTCTGAGTGCTGCCTTCCACTTCAGATGCTGCGAACCAGCCTACTGCAGAGAGTGAGAGTCACTCTTTGAGGAGAGCAGACGTGTTTTCAAGCTTCAAGTCATTATATCTTTTAGCCATCTTTTATGAGATGGTGGATCTGGATTGTAACAGATAGTGGATAGCTCATGGAGAGGAGTATAATTCAACATACCACCATCACTTTTTCGGCAGAAATTATTACAATGGGGTCTAGCTTTCCAATGTAGAGGTGTTTTAAGGATTTGGTTTAATGATAACAAATGCATTTTGGGACAAAAAATGAAATACTTCATCTAAAGAAACCCTATGAAGAGCAGCCATGTTAGTTGATGTTAGAGGTGAACATCATGGTGTGTGTCCTGCTTGCATTCCAAACAGTGAATGCTGCATGATGGGAGCTGCCTTTAAAGGGCATTAGAAAGGACTTTATGTAAGATTCACACAGCAGGGGCTCCATGCCTTTTGTATGCAGGGAGAAAATCAAGGTCTATTTAGGGTTCCACAGGGACGCCAAGTTAGAAGTGATTTGGTGAACTGAATGTCACACGATAGTGTGAGGTTCCTTTTTATATACCAGCAACTAATTTCCATCACCGTCAAAGAATAGAGGACCACGGGACAGATTTTAGATAATTATAATCAATAAATTACAGTTTAAGTATTAAGATAGATCTATCTATAAAAATGGTTAAAAACAACAAGGTAATAATAAAAGGTAATACGGTACTATTTAAAATAGCTAAAATAACACTCCCAGGTAAAACTGGTTGGAATCAAGAGCAAGCAGAATTATTGTCTGTAGAGAACTGTCAATGGCAGAGTCCAGTAATATTCCATACGGGGGGGAGGAGCTTGTCACCGAGCCAATCCGTCAGGGCTCGCTGCCTCGTTCTCCTCGGCGTGTCTCCTAGGCTTCCGCCTCTCGTCACTCCTCCACTCTGCAACACCTCAGTGGCGCGGACACAGACACCCAACAACAATAACTCCGCACACGCAAACAGCTGGGTTTGCCGGGTGACTTCCCTTTACTTAGCTGTCTTCGAGCGTTGTATCGAGTTCCGTATTCTCCCCCGGTCCGCTTGCTCTGCTTCCTGGTTTCCTGCTTTCCTTTCTCTTCCTTCGTTTCTCCGTTCTTTCCGTTTACTCGTTCGTCACCTCCCTTGAACCTCTTCCTTTCTTTTTCTCCTCCTGCTCAGCTGTGTCTGATTGCTTAAAAGCAAAATACCGTTCACTATCGGCCAATCATGCGCCATGGGGGGTTTGTCCAGTCAGACGCAGCCGGTTTCAATAATGCCAATAAATGTCAATCCCAAGAAATAAACAAACAAGATTCACAGGTAAAATCATGCAATAATCAATCCATTAAAAACCACACAGCACAAGTAAAAACCATGCAATGATCCTTATAAAATCACACCTTAGATATATGTTGATTAAAACCAAACTTGAATAAATAATTAAAACATGCACATTTTGGGATTTCAGGCCAATAGAACTAGGGATGCCAGAAACTGACCATGATCAAATTCGAAAATCGGACAGCCCTGGCGAATATTAATCGATTATTCACCGCTGCTGTTGAAGTTAAAAGCATCAATCTGGTGCACTTTGAGAGCAACATGAAGAGATCTATGGATACATCTCTCAACATCCATATGAAACAGAACTGTAAGTAGATTTACTTTTCTTTATGGATATTTTACAAGTCACTCCCCTTTCAAACTGTATTCTTATTTATTAATAACAACTTTTTGTTACTGTCATATAGTATTTATACCTGTTTACTTTATTCTCTTGTTTTTTTTATAACTATAATGATCATATAAAGATGTGCCTTTACCTCACTGTTTGTAGAAAAAGCTTCTTATATTCGTTAGCATAGCTAGCTAACCAGATGCTAATAACAACAAAGTTATTGACTGTATGATCAGTATGACAGATGAACAGATCGCCACTGGGCTTTCAACTAAAGACACAGCCACGCAAAAACTGCGGCATGTGTACGGCTCCTTATGGGTACTGACATTTGTGAAGTGCCGGAGCGGCGTTCTGGTGCTGTCCGTCAGCACTGCACTAGAATCATTCTAGGGAAGTCAAACTGTATTGAATGTCTTTTTTTTTACCTTTTTAGTATTCAAAACATAGCAATAATTTGTCCACACAAGTAGGCTTTTAAAGCCTCACATGTGGTGTTATGGGATACTTCTGAAGATGCATTGGTCAAGTATTATTTGGGTATGGTTATTATTTCCCCAGAAAAGAGGAGAGTGTTCAGGCTCCATCATTTGAATCCATTTGTGAATCGAACTTCCACGGCCATCAGAGAGGTTTCATTGTCCCCCCCAATTCTCCAACATGTGCAGCGACACACTCTCTTGCAGTATTGCAACCTGTCTGAAATCCTCTCTAAACTCCTTCAACACCTGTGTTAGGTTTGTGTTAGCATTGCCCATCGTAAGTCCGCTAGCACATGGTCAAGAGAAAAACGTTTTCCTTTCTCCAGACTATCTCTCCGGGGTCTCATGAAACTCTCTTTTTTCTTGAGTTTCCCTTTGACACACATCAATACCGCCTGCTGTCTGCCAGAATCAATGTGTGCCCATGTTGCACACCTCTCTGTAGCAACCAAGGCAACCCCGAAAGCTTGGGATGAGAAAAGCTTGAGTGCAAATATGGTGCACCGCTCTGTGGCTCAGTTTTCTGCAACAGAGTTCCACAGAGAGCGGTGTGTCATTCCAATAGTTCCTAAACCTGCTGCTTGCTCCTCCCTGCTCCCTAAAGATGCATTTATAATCATTTGGATGAATGAGCCCTGCACATAAACATGTTTACATGGTGACCATAGATATAACAGGAGAAGAATAACAGCAGGCATTTGTAACCAGGACTAAGTGGTATGTAGGAGTATGCTAAACAGCTGCGCTTCACGTCAGTGCAGTGGAACTGGTAGTTTAGCACTATCCGTTCTCCGGAACCCCCCCCACCCACCCCCATGACTTGGTGACAGATATGATCTGAACTTCAACTGAACATGAAGTGTGAGCTGAGAGAGCAGAGAAAGTATGTCATCCTGAAAGTGATGTTGTACATAGGCATAGAGCTGCCTCAGTAACAGTCAGCTGTTCAAAGGTTAGGCAACTGTGGGGGTGGGGGTGGGGGGCTGCCAATACTTGACTAGAATGATGTAAGAAGCGGAGGGAGGGAGAAAGACGAGACGCACGGAGCAAAGGAGAGAGAGGGAGAGAGAGGGGGGGAGTGAGAGAGGGGGGGAGTGAGAGAGGTTCACTGCTCCGATATTCTCCTCACTGTCGGAGACACAGACGGAGCTCCTCCCTAGCGGGTCTCCGAACTGAGGTAGGCTGGCTTTTCTCACTCCCTCTCTTTCAAAAATTACAGAAAATGTCACAATTGATGACAGTATTTTAGAATTGTATGAATAGAATCATGCAGAGTAATTGTCCCGTATCCACGTTGATTTGAATGCAGAGACGGTGGTGTGATGCTGAGCACAGAGAGAACATTCATTAAGAATCTGTTGTGTGTGTGGGTGTTATCAAGTGGAGTGCGTCATGCAAACTGCACGAACGACTTCAAACAGGATCATTTTCAGGACTCCAATCTGTCAAGTTATGTAGACGTGTAAAGCCTACTTGTTAATAATGACGTGCATCTGACGTGAGAATATATCTAATGAGCCCGTTTGCCTTATTTGTTTCTCCAGCCTTACTTTGACTCGAGCAGAAGTGACTGTCTTCAAATATCAGCACCTCGGACAGCGACACACCGCGGCTCTCACACGCTGCCGAGCAGAGCTCAGAGCGGGTTAGGAGCACAGGACATGGGGCTACCCTGGCACGGCCCCCCGCTAGGTTGCAGCGAGCTTTAGCTTGTCCGTGGCACACTAACAGTGGAGGAATGCCCTTGACAGCTGTCTACGCAGAGTTGTTTTCAGCATGACGGCGGCACCGGACACTGAGCCATCAGCCGCAGACTCGGTGGCGAAACAAGACTAACCCTGTGCATGTTTAACCAGAGTTGAAGACTCTTTGCTAAAACACAACCTAATACTTGAGTTCTTCATACTACCATGGGGATAAGGCATATTTTGTTGCTGCTCATATACCTGGACCCTCTGTGCGCGCTGGGCGCAGCTACAGGCGGGAAGAAAACCAAGCAGGCGCCCCCCCGAAAGCCTCCCAAAGCCACCGTGGTGCCCTCGGCTGTCCCGCTGAACACCCTGCCGCCGGCGCCCGCCAGCAACCACGACACATGCCTGGGCTACTACGACGTGAGCGGGCAGTATGACAAAATGTTCGAGTGCAACAACACGAACCACCGGTACTGCTGCGGGACGTGCTACCTGCGCTTCTGCTGCGAGTACATGAAGGACCGGCTGGACCAGAAAGCCTGCAAGAACTACCAAAAACCGAGGTGGGTGCAGACGGTGGTCCCGTCCCCCATACCGACCGGAGAAACGTACGATCCGAGCATGGATCAGACCAACACGGCGGTGTACATCACCTGTGGGGTCATAGCCTTCATCATAGTGCTGGGGTTGTCAGTCAAAGTGGCGTACGACAAAGCCACAGAGCCCCCTCAGGAGATGAATATTCACAGGTGAGTCGGATGCACAGTTTAAAATGACATATTACGTGAGAATGACTTGTGCAATGCGTGCAATGTGTTTGAAGCACACACAATCTACTCCATCTGTTCTCAGAAATGTTCTCTCCTTAGTAAGGTTCACAAACAAATAGAGACAGACATCTAGAGCTCCTTGCAGACAAAGGTCTCGTGTACGAAAACAAGCATGGAGTCATTTTGAGTGCAGTAGTTTCCAATGTACCATAATACAACCTAGTTGTAGTTAAAGTGTAAGTCAATGTGTTTGTTCCCTATTTCATTCAATATTATTCAGACTGACACTAGGACAAAATAATAACATCTCGCATACTTGAATCACATTAGCCCATATACTTGGTCCATATAACCAAGCCAAAGCAGCCAGCTGTCAACACCCCCCCCCCCAGTCACAGTCTGCTGTGTTCAAGTGGGGATCTGCAGAATGGTGAGCAGAGATGGGATATTGTTTCCAAAGCTGTCTCTCCTCCGGGGGCTTCAGCATGGCGCTGGAGCACATGTTGTACTGCAGCTCCATCAGGGAACAATGCTGACACACATTATTTCCTCAAGATTGAATAGCTTTTTTTATTGGATGTATAATTCAACACATGAGCAATCTAAAGACTGTGAATAATGGATAGTGTTAACTGTATGGGCTGTATCAAGTTCGTGCGACATCATGCACGCATCACTGCACACTCAAGAAGAAACAGGAATGATGGGGGGGGGGGGGTCGCAGTAACATTCAAATATGAATGTAAAAGCAAAGGTTATGTTAGGTGACACATTTGTCATACAAAAAGCTTTGAATTGCTTCAGCACTGAAACACTCATTTGATATAATTCCCCAAAGCAATGGCAAACAAACACTTTGTGAACTTTCTTTCATCATGATTACTTCTCTCTCTCTTCCACTCTCCTCCCTCGAGGGCTCCTTCCTTCCATATGCACCTGGTGTGCGGTCTGAAAAACATTCAAATTCAACCCAATTAGACAAGATACTCATGCACCAAATGTTGTCTCTCTTGCAAATGAACATTTGTTATATTCCCAGAATAAAAAATGAACGAAACACAGCAGCCCTGCTGAACCGTGATAGCACAAAACTGTGTGAACAATTAGCAGCCTTCTGCATGAAAGAACAGACACGCTATCACTTCATCTTTAACAAGTTCAGCTGCACTGACAGACAAACATGGTGCAGTGGTAACAGTCATTCTTGTCTATTCGTTTTCCAGGGCCCTTGCAGACATCCTGCGGCAGCAGGGGCCCATCCCCATATCGCAGTATGACTGTGAGAACTTTGCAGCAATGAACGGCTCACCCAAAGACAACACGCCAGTCAGAACCTCATCCAAGAGCCACTACACACCTGTCCACAGCTCCAAGTCCAACCATGGTAAGTCCTCTCTCACCCTCCAGTCTCTGTGGCTGATTCAGTGCTCAACCTTTAGCCCACATCAACCTCAGTGTGTCTATGTAAAGCATTTGGGGTACATTGATGTTTTCCATGCAGAATTTGGCACTCCTCCAAAAAGCACCCACTGTGCTCAGCCCTTTCAGCAGTGTTTCTCCAATGATAACATCCAGTAATCATCCCATTTGAGGGGAAGGGAGAGAGTGAGAGGAAAAAAGGGGTCTGCTAGTGGAGATAATTACAGGCTGGCAGCGTGGTGCAGCCCTGCCGTCTGACAGGCTGAGGGACGTCCTCTGCATCACTCAGGGTGAATTAGATACAAGGCACAGGGCATGATTTAACCCGACATTCAGAGAACAGGTATGGAGCATACATTATAGGTGAAAACTGTGCAGGAACACAAGAGTCCAAGAAAGAAAGAGATCCAAAGACGCAAGGACACTCAAGGAGAGGATCAACTATCACTGTGTGAATCCTCCGGTCCAGTGAAGAACATATGCCTCCAGAAATCTGTCTAATTTGAATTAGAACAACAATTATAATTATTTTCCTTCATGGGTTGAGAAATGTCACTCCCTAGGATTTTCCAAATAATTCACAACAGGATTTAATCTCATTCAAGATCATATTAAATAACTTTAGTTTGTGTTAGTGAAACAGAGATATTAGAGGCACTCTGCCTTTGCGTAATAATCACCATTCTCCCTATGTCTTACTTCCATCCTACAGATCAAAACAACAAAATAGTGTTGTTCAAAAATGGGTTTAAGAAAAACATCTATTCTCCACCAAGAGATAGTATTTCCAGTGCACTGTCTTGTCCTCACTATTACCCAGAAAGGGTCAGTTCCTTTGGGCCCTTTGGAACATCACATGTATCTGTTTGGGATCAAGAAGATGGCCTCAGCAGCCTGCTGCTACTGAACGCCAATGCCAAATGGAAAGTCACAGTTAAGGGTTTTATATCAAATAACACGTCTTGTAACCAATGATAATGCTTCTAAGAGATTCATGCACGTGCTTGTATTTTGAAATATGTTGTCTTGATATAAAGATGTTAAATCATGCTACTGCTTTTCTGGCAATGTGACAAGTGGATCTGGAAGTATTTTCCCACCACAGATTGTGACTTACTGATTATTCAGACATGTAAGTATTTACATATTGATCAAAGAAAATGTAAGTTGATTAAAGTTACCAGGGCATTAAAAGATGTAAGTAAGGATGTTTGCTTCTGAGTGTACTGCAGTACACAGCGGCTCAAACCGTGCATGTAGTATTACCGTGGATTGGAGCTACAGGACATCTAAATATGTGTGTGTCTTGTTCTTTAAATAATATATTGTGCATACAGACTCTTGTCATGTAAAGTTGGCCTATTTCTGCTGCATTGCTGTCCATGAAAACACATGAATGCTTGTAACAGTTACTGCGTATCACTCATATGCAGCACCACTCTATCCTTCGGTGGGTTTCCTGCCCTGCAGAGGACGTGCTGATACGCAGCTGCACGTGGCGGGCTGCCTTCACTACGACCTTGCATGCATTTATACTCAGTAAAGGTTGCCATCCATTTATCATTCTATCCGGTAGTAGGCTTAGACCTTTCAGCCTGTTTGCACACAATAACTGCAAAGAGAACACAACAAAGCCAAGCCCCCCTTTTCTCCGGACATGAAAGGCAGTGACAGTCTTAGCAAAGCGTGGTTAATGTGCGCAGATAAATGGTGAGCTCCGCTCCATGCCTCCAATGGCTCTAAGGTGCTGTGGAAATGAAGCCTACTCGCTTTCAGAGAAAAATGCATATTCATGTGCACCTAAATTGGCATTATGCACAGAGCGGGGAGGTAGGCCTCTTAGGTGAGGCGGTCCTCGGCTGGAGTCATGAATGGCACTTCACATCCAGAGGCCTTTTCAGACACTTTAGATCAAGTGGAGAGAGCTCGTTAATCAACTAGCCCAAGAGGATCTTATCAACTTAGGTCCAAAGTGGGAATCAGGTCCAGCCTTCCCCTGATCCTCACCATGTAGAGGCTCTCACCATGCAGAGGCTCTCAGAGGCTCTCACCATGAAGAGGCTCTCACCATGTAGAGGCTCTCACCATGTAGAGGCTCTCACCATGTAGAGGCTCTCACCATGCAGAGGCTCTCACCATGCAGAGGCTCTCAGAGGCTCTCACCATGTAGAGGCTCTCACCACGTAGAGGCTCTCACCATGCAGAGGCTCTCAGAGGCTCTCACCATGTAGAGGCTCTCACCATGCAGAGGCTCTCACCATGCAGAGGCTCTCACCATGTAGAGGCTCTCAGAGGCTCTCACCATGTAGAGGCTCTCACCATGCAGAGGCTCTCACCATGCAGAGGCTCTCACCATGCTGAGGCTCTCACCATGCAGAGGCTCTCAGAGGCTCTCACCATGTAGAGGCTCTCACCACGCAGAGGCTCTCACCATGCAGAGGCTCTCACCATGTAGAGGCTCTCACCATGCAGAGGCTCTCACCATGCAGAGGCTCTCACCATGTAGAGGCTCTCAGAGGCTCTCACCATGCAGAGGCTCTCACCATGCAGAGGCTCTCAGAGGCTCTCACCATGTAGAGGCTCTCACCATGCAGAGGCTCTCACCATGTAGAGGCTCTCACCATGTAGAGGCTCTCACCATGTAGAGGCTCTCACCATGTAGAGGCTCTCACCATGCAGAGGCTCTCAGAGGCTCTCACCATGTAGAGGCTCTCACCATGTAGAGGCTCTCACCATGTAGAGGCTCTCAGAGGCTCTCACCATGTAGAGGCTCTCACCATGTAGAGGCTCTCACCATGCAGAGGCTCTCACCATGCTGAGGCTCTCACCATGCAGAGGCTCTCAGAGGCTCTCACCATGTAGAGGCTCTCACCATGCAGAGGCTCTCACCATGTAGAGGCTCTCACCATGTAGAGGCTCTCACCATGTAGAGGCTCTCACCATGTAGAGGCTCTCACCATGTAGAGGCTCTCACCATGCAGAGGCTCTCACCATGTAGAGGCTCTCACCATGTAGAGGCTCTCACCATGCAGAGGCTCTCACCATGCAGAGGCTCTCAGAGGCTCTCACCATGTAGAGGCTCTCACCATGTAGAGGCTCTCACCATGTAGAGGCTCTCACCATGCAGAGGCTCTCACCATGTAGAGGCTCTCACCATGCAGAGGCTCTCACCATGTAGAGGCTCTCACCATGTAGAGGCTCTCACCATGTAGAGGCTCTCACCATGTAGAGGCTCTCACCACGCAGAGGCTCTCACCATGTAGAGGCTCTCACCATGTAGAGGCTCTCACCATGCAGAGGCTCTCACCATGCAGAGGCTCTCAGAGGCTCTCACCATGCAGAGGCTCTCACCATGCAGAGGCTCTCACCATGCAGAGGCTCTCACCATGCAGAGGCTCTCACCATGTAGAGGCTCTCACCATGCAGAGGCTCTCACCATGTAGAGGCTCTCACCATGCTGAGGCTCTCACCATGTAGAGGCTCTCACCATGCAGAGGCTCTCACCATGCAGAGGCTCTCAGAGGCTCTCACCATGTAGAGGCTCTCACCACGCAGAGGCTCTCACCATGCAGAGGCTCTCACCATGTAGAGGCTCTCACCACGCAGAGGCTCTCACCATGTAGAGGCTCTCAGAGGCTCTCACCATGTAGAGGCTCTCACCACGTAGAGGCTCTCACCACGCAGAGGCTCTCACCACGTAGAGGCTCTCACCACGTAGAGGTTCTCACCACGTAGAGGCTCTCACCATGTAGAGGCTCTCACCACGCAGAGGCTCTCACCACGTAGAGGCTCTCACCACGTAGAGGCTCTCACCACGTAGAGGCTCTCACCACGTAGAGGCTCTCACCACGTAGAGGCTCTCACCACGCAGAGGCTCTCACCACGCAGAGGCTCTCACCACGTAGAGGCTCTCACCACGTAGAGGCTCTCACCACGCAGAGGCTCTCACCATGTAGAGGCTCTCACCATGTAGAGGCTCTCACCATGCAGAGGCTCTCACCATGTAGAGGCTCTCACCATGTAGAGGCTCTCACCATGTAGAGGCTCTCACCATGTAGAGGCTCTCACCACGCAGAGGCTCTCACCATGTAGAGGCTCTCACCATGTAGAGGCTCTCACCATGCAGAGGCTCTCACCATGCAGAGGCTCTCAGAGGCTCTCACCATGCAGAGGCTCTCACCATGCAGAGGCTCTCACCATGCAGAGGCTCTCACCATGCAGAGGCTCTCACCATGTAGAGGCTCTCACCATGCAGAGGCTCTCACCATGTAGAGGCTCTCACCATGCTGAGGCTCCTCACCATGTAGAGGCTCTCACCATGCAGAGGCTCTCACCATGCAGAGGCTCTCAGAGGCTCTCACCATGTAGAGGCTCTCACCACGCAGAGGCTCTCACCATGCAGAGGCTCTCACCATGTAGAGGCTCTCACCACGCAGAGGCTCTCACCATGTAGAGGCTCTCAGAGGCTCTCACCATGTAGAGGCTCTCACCACGTAGAGGCTCTCACCACGCAGAGGCTCTCACCACGTAGAGGCTCTCACCACGTAGAGGTTCTCACCACGTAGAGGCTCTCACCATGTAGAGGCTCTCACCATGTAGAGGCTCTCACCACGCAGAGGCTCTCACCACGCAGAGGCCTCTCACCACGTAGAGGCTCTCACCACGTAGAGGCTCTCACCACGTAGAGGCTCTCACCACGTAGAGGCTCTCACCACGTAGAGGCTCTCACCACGTAGAGGCTCTCACCACGCAGAGGCTCTCACCACGTAGAGGCTCTCACCACGTAGAGGCTCTCACCACGTAGAGGCTCTCACCACGTAGAGGCTCTCACCACGCAGAGGCTCTCACCACGCAGAGGCTCTCACCACGTAGAGGCTCTCACCACGCAGAGGCTCTCACCACGTAGAGGCTCTCACCACGTAGAGGCTCTCACCACGCAGAGGCTCTCACCACGCAGAGGCTCTC